TTATTACTATTATTATTATTTTTTTGGGGGGGGGGTTTACAAAATCAGATTTCTATGACACAAATCTCTAAGGACATTTGCAATTATATAACAAAAAGATTTCAGCATTAGAGAGGTTTTCAATTGAGTGTCTAAAGTAATTAGGGAATTACTTTGGTCTTGGTTTTACTACGGTTTGAGATTGGAAGTGTAGTCTTATTGGTAAGTAATTGGTTTGGTTTTGGTTTTACGACAATCAATTGATAACCACTCGAAGATATATCAATAAATTCACAGATTCATCAATAAAACCAACAATCAAAACCATTTTTCTCCTCTGAAATTTGATACAAGTTGCCACGTTGGTGAACTATGATCACAACAATGTGCATCTTTAATAATGAAGGTGGAGATAAATTTGTTACTGCTGACAGTGCAATAAACAGTAAACATCCCAGAAAATTAACACACCAACCACATTTACAATGACACAAAAGACTGAAGTTCTGCTGATGGAGAAAGGAACTTTAAGTCACTGCTGCTTGACAAAGTTGTTAAGTAAGTCAAACTTCTACTAATGGCTCTCATCTCATCCCTCATCATGCCCTGCAGGACAACTAAGGCAATCTACTAATGGCTACCTCCCCACAATGGCAACCTCTCTGCAGCGGCCACATGATTTCGTCCCAGTTTAGAGATCTGCTCTTGACCTGCTAACAGCAGCCACCTCCCCACAATAGGCAGTTAACTTTGTACGTGGGGTGGCCTTTGTACAGAAGTTTGACTGTATAGCCGAAGCCCTGTGCGCTGCAACATAAGTTGGCATTAAAAGACGACAACCAGCATGCACACCCCACATGGTTGCAACAGAAAATGTACACCCAACTTGCAGAGAGTGTTGTCATGGCAAACTGGCTCGTACAATCCGTAAATGCACACTGTTTTCCCTGTGTTCCTCCAAGTGTGACGTACAGGATACTAAAGATCCCTGCCAGGGCCACGGACCCGACATTAGCCTATTCATGGGCCAGTAGCCAATCAAAGCATTTTTGCCATGTCCAGTTGTTTTTCGTTGGACCAGGTCTATTCTTTGTACATGCATGTTCTGACGCACCTCAGATTCGGACAACAGGCAGGACCAGATGCGAATTTCCCTTACCTTGGCAGAAAAACAAAATAAATTCAATCATACCTCTAGTGAGCCATCTTACTGAATCTTTAAGAAAATCAAAAATAGGAAACTGTGTCTTTCTGAGCTCATTTATTGTTAGCATTCACACATTTATCTTGTCTGTTCCAAAACAATCTTAGAATCTGGGACAGACTGAAGAATCTAAAAATTTATTACACGTTTCATTAGGCCTAAAGGACCCTTTACACAGGTGATTTTTGGAGCAATTTATGTTGTGATTTCCACCACGATGTTTGTCAAAATATAGATCTCACCATGCCATGAAAGGGATACCATCCAGTATGACCATGAGGCATGGCATCATCTCCCCAAGGTGTACATGTCCCATAGCTGATAACACCGTTACCAATTTGACTATACTTCATGTAATATCTGAAAAATATGGACATATTATAAGTTGCATGTTATACACCACATAAAACACTGTCCAGTAGATGAGCATTGACAAAAGTAACTGCATTATCCATCTGGTCCCAGTTGTTCGAAGGCTGGATAATGCGATCCACTGGATAAATCGTTGTTGAGTGGATAAGTGTTAACACACAAAAAACGTGCTATACACTGGATAATGATTTATCCAGTGGATATTTTGAACAACCCGGGCCTGATATTGATTCTAGACATGTAGATAAGATTGTCCACTCTTTGAACAACCATACTCTGGGCTTTATGTATACAGTTTGTAACAGTTTCCAGTTGTTGTTCCAGTTTTAGTACACATAGTTAGATATGGACCCAACATATATTTTCTTGTAGCAGTTATATCAAGTTGTTACTAACCACTTATTAACCAAGAGTGAGGTCTTTACAGGAAAATATCAGACTGAAACCTTGCTGTATTGACTGAGCAATAACGAGGTCAATACAGCAAGGCTGAGGTTTGAGATTTTCCCGTGAAGACCGAATGTTCAAGGTTAATAAGTTGTTTATTATATGGCTTATTGCTTTGTTTTTGCAAGCCGGTAATCAGCCCATGAGCACTACGGGAGAGTAATGCCCTAGAATTAGCCAATCAGAGGCCACGTTATATCGGCTACAAACACAAGCCATATAATAATAAGTACTAATAATATAATAACAATAACAATAATAATAATAATAATAATAATAATAATTAACAACTTATATTGCACCTTTTAGCATGCAATGACCAAAGGCGCATCACATAATAAATTCCAAAGCTTATATCAAATTTTTAAAAGCCAGTTTAAAAAGGTATGTTTTGAGTAAGGATTTAAACTGTAAGAGAAGAAAAAGTAGAAGAAAGGTTAAATCTACAGTTATGCAGTTGTGCTCTGTGGTAGGATTGTCACTCGGAAAACAACAGGAGTAATTTCTACCCCCTCCCAGAAGATAAGCAAAAAAAAGAAAAACCCAACCCACTTTACAAAGTAAAGGCCCAAACTTGTTCAGTGATACATCTTATTCACCTAAAAATGTCCAATCATATAAAATTTAACAGAATATTATCTTGACATTAAACAAGTATGTGGAGGTCACCAGTGAGGAATTTCTTTTATATTCAACCATACTGCACCTGTGAAGCTCATGCCCAATTCCAAAATTTATTGAGCAAACAACTCGTCCATCAACAAACATGCATTNGTATACAGTTTGTAACAGTTTCCAGTTGTTGTTCCAGTTTTAGTACACATAGTTAGATATGGACCCAACATATATTTTCTTGTAGCAGTTATATCAAGTTGTTACTAACCACTTATTAACTGAGAGTGAGGTCTTTACGGGAAAATATCAGACTGAAACCTTGCTGTATTGACCGAGCAATAACGAGGTCAATACAGCAAGGCTGAGGTTTGAGATTTTCCCGTGAAGACCGAATGTTCGAGGTTAATAAGTTGTTTATTATATGGCTTATTGCTTTGTTTTTGCAAGCTGGTAATCAGCCCATGAGCATTACGGGAGAGTAATGCCCTAGAATTAGCCAATCAGAGCCCACGTTATATCGGCTACAAACACAAGCCATATAATAATAAGTAATAATAATATAATAACAATAACAATAATAATAATAATAATAATTAACAACTTATACTGCACCTTTTAGCATGCAATGATCAAAGGCACATCACATAATAAATTCCAAAACTTATATCAAATTTTTAAAAGCCAGTTTAAAAAGGTATGTTTTGAGTAAGGATTTAAACTGTAAGAGAAGAAAAAGTAGAAGAAAGGTTAAATCTACAGTTATGCAGTTGTGCTCTGTGGTAGGATTGTCACTCGGAAAACAACAGGAGTAATTTCTACCCCCTCCCAGAAGATAAGCAAAAAAAAGAAAAACCCAACCCACTTTACAAAGTAAAGGCCCAAACTTGTTCAGTGATACATCTTATTCACCTAAAAATGTCCAATCATATAAAATTTAACAGAATATTATCTTGACATTAAACAAGTATGTGGAGGTCACCAGTGAGGAATTTCTTTTATATTCAACCATACTGCACCTGTGAAGCTCATGCCCAATTCCAAAATTTATTGAGCAAACAACTCGTCCATCAACAAACATGCATTGCCAATCTGAAGATGCTGTTAATGCAATGTGGTGCCACTGTCCATCATTGATGCAAGGTCCTTTCATGAACTTGTAAGGTTCCAAGGAGCCTCTGATGCAGCCATCAGGACCTACATGAAGTATCTGCCAGTGATAGTTAGGCCACCTGTTTGAACTGAGCAGGAAAACAACAAGGTAAAGACAAAGTCACATTCATTGACCAACTTAAGGTGAAGATGGCTTGATTTATTTGGCCAAATTGTTAATCTGTCCGCTGATGGAGCAAGATGCGATCATGCACTATAATCACAAGCTCTTGGCGGAAAATGACCTTGCCACCAGACAATCTACTGGATAGTACCACTATAGCAATGTCTAGACACACAAGAACTGTTATAGGTCTTACAGATCACCTTTCGTCCCATGTACCATCCCAGAATGGGATAATCTACCCCAGTATATTCAGTATGCTTCACTTTTCAGTTCACTTTTAGCCATAACCACTGGGGATGTTGGGCAGGATATTCAGAGTGCTACCCCTGCTTAATGCTTTAAATTCAAAGCCTCTCTTATATGATACCTAAATGTTAAAGATGATTTCCAGTCTGTATTGTGCATTCTCAAGAGTTTGTGTTTGTGTTTTCTGTTTTGTTTCATGTAAGACATTACAAAATGTAGACATCTCACAACTACTTACATGAAGTAAATTCAAAGTTTCAAAGCAACCACCATTATGGATA